GATCTTCATCAAAGACTTCTCTCAAGTTGCACTTCCACTTATACGTTTGACTTGTAAAGATAAACTTCAATAGAATCATGAAGCTGAAGTAGCGTTTGAAGCTTTGAAGACAGCCTTTGTTTTTGCACCAATCTTGTATTGCGTCAATTTTTCTAAGCCATTTTTTATGGAAACAAACGTATCAAATTTTGCTTTAGGTACCGTATTGTCACAAATGGGAATAGATGATAAACTTCATCCAATAGCTTTTCATTCCAAAAAAAATTTAGCAATCAAGATCAACTACGAGATCCACGACAAAGAACTTCTCGCAATCACGGATTTGTTTTAAGAATAGTGCCATTATCTAGAAGGTACTTCTAACTCAGTCACAGTGTATACGAATCACAAGAACCTTAAATATTTTATGTCAGTATGTATTTTGAAATGTCGCTAAGCCCGTTGGAATATGTTTTTGTCAAGATTCAAATTCAAGATCTCTTATCAACCAAAAAAGTAATAAGATTTGTTAGATTCACTCTCTAGACGATTTTACCTTGCATTAAAGGAAAGAGATACTACTTTTGATCAACAAAGAACAATTCTCTTGAAGCCAGAGCATCTTTATCTTCGAGCAATGAAATCAACACTAACTGTTGATTCAACTTTCATTAAGCAAGTTCAGTCAAGTATGTCTTCTGATCCTCTTATTCATAATATTAAGAAAAATCATTCAAAGTCTCATGATACTTTAAAGTTTGAATTCAAGAAGAATCTACTATATTTTGAGGGACGCCTATATGTTCCAGAAGGTGAAGCTCAATTACGTGTTCTTCAAGCTTGTCATGATTTTCCAACAGTAGGATATTTTGGGTACAATAAAATTATGGAACTAATATCCAAGGACTTTTGGTGGCTCCAAATATGGAAAGCAATTAAAGATTTTGTACAATCTTTTATTGTTTGTTAGAGATCAAAAACTCCTCGTCATTAACCTTACACACTTTTTCAGCCATTACCCATTTCAGAACAACCATGGTCTTTTATTTTTATGAATTTCATCATGGATCTTCTAATCTCAGGTTCTTATGACTCTATATTTGTGATAGTAGATCGTTTTACCAAGATGGCACATTTTGTACTAAGTACAAAATCTATCACAAGAGAAAAAATAGCTAAGCTCTTTCTTGACAATATCTATTGCTATCATGGATTACCCTAAGATATTATATCAAAGAAGGGAACTCAATTTGTATCAAGATTTTGGCGGACTCTTTTCAAGATTCTAAAAGTGGATATAAAACTATCTTCAGTATTCCATCCTCAAACTGATAGACAAACGGAGCGTGTTAATCAAGTTTTGGAGCAGTATTTAAGATGTATCATTAATTATCAACAAGATGATTGGACATCTCTTTTGCCATTGGTAGAGTTTGCTTACAATAACACTATACATTCTTCTAAAAACAAACACCTTTCTTTGCTAATTATGGTCATCATCCACGACTTGATGCTTTTGACTTTTCAAAAGTTGATAATCCTGTTGCAAAAGATTTAGCAATTCATTTGTAAGAGCTACATGTAATCATGAAGGCACAGTTAAAAGAAGCTCAAGAATAATAAAAGGTCAATACAAATGTCTATCGAAAGGAACAACCACCATTCTACATAGGTAATAAGGTATGATTACTTCATAGCAATATCAAGACCACTCGTCCTTGTAACAAGTTGGACTATCGAAGGCTGGGACCATTTTCTATTTTTACACAAATCAATCCACTTGCATATTGTTTACACCTACCGGAGTCAATAAAAATTCATCCAGTATTCCACGTGTCTCTTCTTGAATCATACAAGATAATGGACATACCAAAAACAAGACAAGCTCCACCTCCTCTTATAGAAGAAGACAATAATGAAGAGTTTGAAATAGAAGAAGTCTTAGATTCAAGGCAGCGCCAAAATAAATTAGAATATCTTGTCCATTGGCATGGATATGATATTAGTGAATGCACATAGGAGCCAATAAAGAATCTTGCAAATGCAACAAAGGCGATGGAGGCTTTTCATTCACAACATCCATCAAAATCAAGATGAAAACCTTCTTCATAAAAGAAATAAGATCTAAGCAAGATAATATTCTACTTTCAATTCTTGTTTGTAGCTTTTTTGTAGTTGTGATGCTGAGGAGATGGAGAACCAACAACCAACATATGTTTGAGCTTCAATAATCTTTGAACAAACCATTAGATTAAGCTCAAACTTACATCAAAGACTACACAAAATAATTATTACTTAAGCACAAAATTTTATCCATAGATTACTTATAAATTTTACACAAATATCTAAAGTACAAATCCTTAGAACTTCTCAAAATTCAAAATTACTTGAAAACAATCCTAACTTTGCAAAGCCTTTACAAAGTTATTACACTCTTAAATCACTTGAAACTAATGCTTAAAGAACCTCTCTCTTGTTTACTCTCAAATCTTATTCTTTGATCAACTAAAGAATCCTAGAATTACCATAAGTGCACAGTTTTGTGCCTTAATGTCTAATTTTGGTCTTAGTTCACAATCGGTCCTCTCTAGGGATTAATTCTTAATAATTTGAAGTAATTTCTGCTTTAACCTATTATTAATTCCTTTTTAAACATGTTTATGTCTATTTTTTATTTTATTTTCTTTGATTTGGTTCATTTATGCCTTTAAAAAGTAAATAGAAATCTCTTCTAAAAAAATAACATTAAGACTAAGATTTTTACTATCTTTCATTATTTATCTTTATTTTTTTATTACATCTTTCTATTAGGCTCTTCTATAATAACATTCTTATTTTTATTTTTTGTTATATAGTTGTATTACCAAATAGCAACACCTTTGATTGAAACTTGCTTATAAAGCATAATAGATTAATAATAAGATTTATCAATTTAAATTATATTTTAAAGAATATTTAATGATTTATAACTAACAACTTCCAAATTGTTCAAATTTTAAAAAAAATTATAATAATATAAATTGTTGATTCAAAATTATAGAATTGAAATACTAAAAAATAGAGAGATATTAGATTATGGAATATTTTTTCTTGATGAAATTCTTTAAGATTCAAATAAAACACTTATTGATTTTCCATTGATGTTATTGTGAGAAAGGAATTAAAATAAAAATGCCATAAATTAAATGTTTATGAAGTATATGACATGGAATCATAACAAGCTAAAACAAATAGTCAAAGAATGGGTGTTAAAGTTAAATGATGATCAATGCATCATATATTTGGATATCTTTGCTTCAATACATAAAATTCTTAAAAAGACGTATTTTTTGGAACGATCAACTGGAAGTAGAAAAGTATTCATCTACAATTCAGCAATAATGAAGTTCTAAAGTGATAGAAAATTTATTTTGTATGTTGCTTCCTCTAAAATCACAAGGCAAGTTTTAAGTAGTAGACAGATTGCATACAATGTTTAAAATTTTACTCCATCTTGATGAAAATTGATTTTGCAATATTATAAAGAATGCACTACACGCAAATGTGTTAAGAAAGACAATTTTTATCATTTGAGATGAGGTACCAATGTAACATTACCATGGAGTTGAGGTAGTTGATAAAACTCTCTAAGCCATAAATGACAAGAAGTTATTTGGCAGATTTTATTGCATAGAGTTGTAGTCTTTGATAGAGAATTTTGGCAAATTTTTATTATTATTAAAGACTTAAGAGAAGAGATTGTTGATGCTTCTTTGTACTGATTAAAGATTTGGTCTAATATTAAAGTGTGCAAGTTGATCAAAAATATGCATTTAAAAGATGTATCTAATGAAAATTGATTATTTGTAGAAGAGCTCTTGAAGATATGCATTATACAAGATTATTACTTTTGAAAGTTATTTTATGATATAATATTTTTGTTTAATATATGTAAGAATAGTTTTCATTTGCAGATTAGAAATGGATCAACAATTGTAAATCTATTAAAAAGTATTGTGATTCTTCTAAGATAAACATGTAAAATACAAATATAGCAATTATGGAAGATAGGAAATAACTAGGAATATTCCAAACATGGTCAACCAATGCCATGCCGATGAGAACCAAAGCACCCAGAGTAGATCGTATTCAGCGCCACCGTACATTCCTCGGATATGAAGTACGTAGGCAGGGCACGACGCCAGCCTTCCAACCAATGCACCGGCGGCGGTGCTTTCATTCGAAAGGAAGAGCGGGACCCAACCATGCCCAATTATTATTTGATGCCGTGCGGCAGCATCAGCAGCAGTTCTTCCACAGGCAGAGTCGTTGAATGAATATGCTAGCAGCGTGTTATTCTGTCCGCACTGAGCTGAGTTCGTCGCAGCAGAGATAGCGGAGCATCAACTCCCTTTCTCTTTCCCATGCTCGACGCGGCAGTTTGAAATCGCGTTGTCAGGGAGAGGTAAATCGATATCACCAAATCGGGGGTGGGGAAGTTAGAACTGGAAGATGCAGTTTAGTAAACGTCCCTGAAGAATCAACCTTGGACCATTATAGAAACGTTGACTGAATGACCGATGCATCACTCTATGGGAATAGATTTTGTTTCGCGGTAGAATTTGTTCCAAAGTTAGGATAAGACTAGATGCAGCCTCTGTTGATATTTTGAACATGCTATACAATGTTTCTATTTCCTCATTGCCACACCCCCCCCCCTCCCCCCCTCCTCAATTAGTTGTATCCTCTGAGTGGATTTAATAGTGTCATTGTTCTATTTCTCTTTCCGCCTAATTCATTCTCCCAGTATGACCCGTGAGTGCATGAGTGACCATCTGCACACGGAACGAAGGAAGAAGAAAAAGCGTCTCATTCATTCTCCTGGCCTTACCCATAAGTCTGTGATTGAAACCGCATTAACACACATTCCAGGAAGACAGAAGAAAAGCGCCTCGTTCAGCACATTGTGTGGAGAGAGCGGATCTAGGTGGCGCGAAGCTGGAACGGGATGCTGAGGATGCAGAGGAACTTAGATATTAAGCATTGCTCCTCGCAATCCTGCACCACTAAGAAGTTCGAACTTCGATTGTAACTGTTCTGCTCGCATGGAGGCGGTTAGCACACATGGACGCGCCGGTCGCCGCCTAGCCACTGTAGCTCACCGTCAGCGATGGCCATCGGCGACCAGAGGACGGCAGGGGCGCTTCGCAAACCCGTGTTAGGGCGGGAGATCGGAGCTCGAGGACCCTGGACAGAAGCCCCAGTCAACGGAAATAGGATCCGACCAGAGGTCGCTCGGGCAGAGGATGCAGAGTGGTATGACCATCTGGCATGATTTCGAGAGCAATGCTGAAGACTGGAACCTGCGGAACTAGGTGCTTGGCGCGCAATCATCTGGAGTGGATAGTCGCAGTCTTTTCTGGGGTGGTATTGAGGATTGTGGGGATACAGGGAGTTTGGGGTTTTTAACCTGATAATTGGTGGCTTTCGTCAGTTCTTGCGGAGTCAGATTCCCGTCGTCGAACTGTGCACGTTTCTGTTTCGTGGAGTGAATTTAATGAGACAGTTTCTCGCATTGAAGCACCGCGGGTGGAAAGCTCGTGTTATACTTTGTCTTACTGTCTTGTGAACAATTTTCGGTGTTAGTGGCGATGGTGTTCGAGTATAGGATTCTTTTTGGAGTTTGTTGTTCAATGCGCAGGTTTGGGGAGGATAGACACTTAGAAGAGGCTGGTTGTAGAGGGATTCAGAGCGGCTGCTGGTGGGTTTTATTGGATTCTTGTGAGTGCTCCACTTTTTCTTGCAGGTATGTCCGCTCCTTTTGATGGATCTGTGTTGCGAGGTTGAGTTGTATCAGTTCTGTTATTGTGTGGCGATTAGCGCGCATTTGGGGAGAGGGAGGGAGGGGAGGGAGAGTGAGAGAGAGATTGTTCAGATTCGTAGTTCACCATCCTTCGTTGCATTTAGAGTCGTTAATGTGCAGATCGTCAGTTGAACAATATCTTTCGATCAGTAAATTTGTAAAGAGACGGGTCTCCATTGTGCTGATTAGTGTTGTAGTCTGCTAATCTTTCTCAACATATGAAAGAGGCTAAGTGACTCGATCTGTCGGGATCTTAGTTGATCTGATTTCTAATGTGTGTCGTTCAGTTGCGAATTATTTTTTTGTTTTCTTGGTTATCCCAACATTGTCACCTAGTCCAATGTCCAGTAAGGAATCCCCGAGAGCCACTTGCCGATCCATATTGTTACATTGCTTAGAAAGTTCGGAAGACTTCTGCTGAATTTTGATGCAATTTGGGTACACAGCATATCTACAGATGTCAGAACTTGGGAGAAATCTTCCTCACTTATCTCAGCTTATATGGAGCAGCTATTGATTGGAATCTCCTAAAACAAATTGGATTCTGAATTGGCAGGCAAGATTGGGTGCCGCACTGTTCTGTTTAGGTTTTCAAGGCTGGGTGCCCGGACTGGTGCAGTACTTCGCTCAAATTTGTCACGCCTCCGCGAAAGAGAATTAGGAGTGTCGAAGCATTGTTGGCATTTGCTGATAGTGGCCTTAACGAAGCGTTTGCTCTCAGTCAGCATGTATGAGTCGATAGATCTTCTGGACGCTGCGGATGACCAACTTCGGTCGTAAAAGTTTACAGAGCTTCTTATTAATATTCAAAGACACGTAGGATGGAAGAGCTCTACCTGGGTGTCTGTAAGGGGAATTTCAGGACTTCGCGTGATGGCCTATTGAGATGGTGCCTATTGTGGCGTCATGCAAATACCTCACTCGGGTAAAGGAGATCTTACATTAACTGGAGCTCAAGGATTTAACTAGAGCTGCTTCTGGTGGTGAATTTTTCTCCAAGAGAATTCGGTATGGAAGGTCTGGTGAAGACTTTCGAATAAAGACATAGATGATCATATACGAATGATCTGGAAACGTTTGGAGTTGTTTCCAGTCTAGTAGCGCTTGGTAACTATTTCATAGCAAATGTAATATACTTACAGAGTGGCAGGAAGCCAGGGCGCAATATTTAGCGTCGGTTTTGGTATGGCAATTGAACTTTGGTAAGCCATGACAAGGAAGCAATTGAGCATTCTTCTAATCTCACTGTTGACCTTCTTCGTCATACGATGTAGCCTTTCCATAGGGTTTCCTCGCGGAGCAGACGGGAACTACATGAATTATCGAAGTTCGGCCATAGACCTTGAGATACCTTTGCTTTGGGCTCCCGCTCCCAGCCTTGAGGCCGTGCCTCGCCAAGATGGCAATTCGAGTTTGCCCGTAGACAGCGACATCATAGTACCCACTCCCAGCGTCGTGCTGCGTCAGGGTAACAAAGATGGCGATCCGATTTTACCCACTTATACTGACACATCTATAATATCTGAATACCCGACTCTTCTCCCTGGAATCAACAAGGCTCCGAAGCTTGAACCCATATGGAGATATCTCGCGAGTTACATGAGGAGGCGCAGCGTGCCCAAGGCAGCAACCAAAGCCATGAAAGAAGGTTTGCGGGCTTGGAGAAAGATCAATAAAACCATGATCGATGAGACTCATGAACGAGTAATGGATGGATCTAATAGGAGGAATGGCAACAAGTGCCCGTACCTTGTGAGCGCATTAAATGCTTCTGAATTGAAATCAATACCGTACATAGTGCCGATCCCATGTGGGTTGATATTGGATTCTTCAGTCACGGTAGTGGGCACACCAGGCATCAAAACCGGGACGTTTTCTCTTGAGTTGATAGGATCGAAGCTGTTTGGAGAGGGAGACGAGCCTGTTGTTTTTCATTTTTCTGTACGTTTACATGGCGATGAATTAACCAACAAGCCCTCCATTGTCCAAAATACTTGGACAGTAAGCAGAGATTGGCATGATGAGCAGCGATGTCCGCCGCTACCAGACGAGGATGATCCCGAGAGTACAGGTTTGCACCCCACTTACTGTGGCTAGTGCTTCGTATGCCGGATGATTCATGAATTGTGAACCTTGAATGCGAAGCATATAGCGAAGTGAGGGAGTTGATGTCACTAATGTGTAATGGTTTTACAGTGGACGGTCTGAGAATCTGCAATACGGACGTTGGACAGAATATTACAAGAGAGTCTGGTCGGAGGCCATGGAAGGGTCTTAATCAAAGATCGACCAACGTCTGGTTTCCTTTTGTTGAAGGATTTCCTTTTGTGGCAACCATATCGGCTGGCTGGGACGGTTATCATGTCTCTGTCAACGGCAAGCATATCACGGCCTTCAAGTACCGCCAGGTTTATTTAAATTCCCAATCTGTCTTATTTGGCTTTGGTATGAGAATAGCTCGGGTAGACGCCACAGCATCTTTTTTCTTTTTTTCTTTTTGATGATAGATGAATTTCCTTCTAGTTAAATAGAGGACGATGAGTGAGATATGTTGCATTTTAAGTTTTATTTTTATCCAGATACCAACAGACAGTGCCACCTGCTTCAGCTCTTATTCTTGCCGTATTGATCAAGAATTACTTTGTTCACAGAACTTGGAACCCTGGATGGTTAATTCTTTTCGGATTAAAGGAGATCTGAATATTTCTTCAGTGATTGCGAACGGTCTTCCAATATCTGACGATGCTTCATATGTACCTGACTTGAAAGTCATTAGAGCACCTAAACTACCAAAAAATACAACTCTGTTCATAGGGGTGTTCTCAACAAATAGCAATTTTTTTCCAAGGATGAGCATAAGGAGGACTTGGATGCAGTATCCGGAGGTCCGAAATGGTACTGTAGTGGTGCGGTTTTTTGTGGGGTTGGTAAGTTTGTCATCCTGTCCATAATTTTTCCTCTTGGGCACAAAATTGATAGGAAGCCCCATTTGAAACAGTATAATGTTCCATGGTGTTTCATTATTATTTCTGCTGCTTTCAGGTTTAAGATTACGAAAAGAATAGCTAAGGAACAGGTAGCGATTGAATGCACGTACGTCTTATGTTGCGCTTGTTCTATTCCGCAGCACCAGAATGAGCAAGTAAACAGGGAGCTTTGGACCGAGTCTCTTACTTATGGGGACGTCCAGCTTCTGCCTATGGTGGATTACTACGATATCATCACGTATAAAACATTAGCTATTTGTATGTTCGCGGTATGTACTTCGTCACGTGTTGCGTCTTATATCAACCTCCCTTAATTTTTTTTGGATGCTTTTGACTGAATATTTTGAAATTCATCTAAATTGTAGAAACACCATACGATGTTACCAACTAGTTAACTGCTTGTGTGCTTGTAAACAGAAGTATAATGTGAATGCAAAATATGTAATGAAGACTGACGATGACACTTTTCTGCGAGTGGATGCGGTTCTATCATCTATTTTTGTTACGAAACCCAACTCTACCCTTCTTATTCCGAAATACAACCAAAGCCTTCTTCTGGGTAATATTGCCTGGAATGATGCTCCTGCCCGAAACCCTGATAACAAGTGGTTTATGAGCACGAAGGTAAGGGATGCTCTCGTGCTCTAGTAGTTCCTTGAATGGATGTCTTCGATGATGCCGCGTCTTATGTTCTTCAATTCGAAGACACGATCAATCATCTTTCATAACATTTGTACAGAAATTGTTGCTTTGTGTTGTTTGATGTGGCAACATTTGTTACTTCGCTGCAGGACTGGGCAAATAAGACGTACCCTCCGTGGGCTCATGGACCTGGATATGTTATTTCCCTAGATATTGCTCTTTTTGTAGTCAAGGGGCACCAGAAGGATTTTCTGAAGGTAAACGCCACACCTAGTTCATCTTGTCGAGTAGAGCGTTCTTTTCAAAAGTTTCTGAGTTGATGCTAGAGTCTTAGATTTATACCAAGGCACTCATTTCACTGGAGGAATTGATTTTGCAGTTTTATAAACTGGAGGACGTAGCCATGGGAATATGGATTGATAGATTCGCACACCTGGAGCACAAGGTCGTTAAATATGTCCATGACGACCACTATCAACACGGAGGTTGTGAGAATGATTACATCATAACCCATTACCAGAATCCTAGCCAAATGCAGTGCCTTTGGAACAATGAGTTAGAAGGAGAACACGGGATTTGCTGCTACGACCAAACAATTTAGCTAGCAGGTTGTGGAGTAGATGAAAATGGTAGAACTCGCGTTACTTGCGAGGTTGACAAATTTGATAGTTTTTGGACAGTTAGAATATTGCACTTTCTTTCGACCAAATATACTTCGCCCATTCGTTGCCAATATATATTTAATAGACCATCTTACTGTCAGTGAAACATTTGAAAATTTGACGTATAAAATCGGGAATTTCTGTTTCCACTTTGAAATTAAGAAAGTAGATAGTTCTAGACACCTAAGTGAACACCATACCTACAATCTACAAGAATTTTAAAACTACGCACGAGGGAAATTGCCTGGAAAAGATTCTACTGGGCTGACCAGCTGCGGAAATTTAACTTCAAATTCCTACTTCAAATGCTCCCAATCTACACTCAAGTCGCCACTATCACTGACAACTTAGTGGCGAGCATACTTTTCGTCACACCAGCCATGAGTGCTATATTCAAGGCCATTCATGAGGTTGTGGATGAATGTGCTATCATTTACTAAAACCTGCCGTAAAACTAAGATCATGCACCACATGCGCGTCCAGAAACACCTTCCAACGTGACAGATGATTGATTACTTAACACTTCGTCCGCAAAGATTCCTCGGGAGGCATCATAGAGTCAAACAAGGCTTTAGCTCAGCTTAGCTCACTGCTTGACAACTGACTTGCACTCCGTTGCCACCGATTACAGCTTCAAAGCAGGAGAATCCTTTCCCTTCTATGTCCACTTTTACCAATTCCACTGACGTGGAAGACAATTCTGAATAACGTGTTAATGATCAACCAATTCAGGATCTGCAACGCGGACATGCACAGGCAGCAATAAACACGATAAAAAGAGAATTCTGGATTGATCAGCAATTGTGTGAGGATACTGTGAGGGAGAAGCGTCAAGACGCAGCCACCACCGCCGGCTCCGGTAAGTTTCGACGAAAGTCTATACGCTGCAGTAATCTGACAAATTGATTCAATAGAGAGATGACTAACACCAATGCCTTGCAAGAGACCCTGATTCATATCCACAAGCTCCTGGAGTCTGATTTCCTGTACTGTTTTAGCGACAGGGTGAGGCCCGCATTCATCAGAGGAAACGACCTCCCCACTTTTGCCCAACCGTGCTGTTTCAGGTGGCGTTTGTAGGATGGTGACAACTTCTTCCGCAATCTCGTCGATAGCCTTGAAAATTGCGCCCATGGCAGCTGGATGACGAAGAGCGCGCTCTCCAACACCAGCCACCAACGCTTTGGTGTTTCGCCCAACTTGGGTGTTCGTCAGGAGCATTCGAAGTGGCATTTGTGTGTGCAAGCGCGTAATCTGGCCCTTTTTGAACTTCACCACATACCCTGAAACAAAGCAGTGTAAGCTAGAAAGGAAGAAATAAATGGAAGAAACGAAAACAAAAGATGTGTCGCAACTCTAACTTCATCAGATAAATGTTATCTTACCATACGTGCTGACCGTGTTGTCAATACCAGAGGGACGTCCGTGAATGATGCGCTCTCCCTCGAATGCCCATTTATTCACCAAGTCTACCTTCTTTTCGTCTACATCAAACCATATTTTCCTATCAGTGGAAACTTCTTCTCCCACGCTCGGGAGTTGTGGCAACTCAATCTCTCGAGAATAAGCCAACAGAGCGGTTGTCAGCGCGACGCAGTAGGCAGCGGAGGAGCCCAAGCCAGCACCCACTGGTAGCTCGGACGACACTCTCACGGTTGCTGGCTGCAAACTGAGGTCCAAGCTCTGTTAGGCAAACCCCGATTAAGCAAACCACCTTGTACGAAGGACCGATTTGCTCATGATTGAAAATGGCTGCGCTGAGAAATGTCAGAATCTAAACTGAGGATGTGGATCTCGATGTAATCCTATGATTAATTTGCAATCAATGTTTACTTACCCTAGGATTGATGTATACAGGAACAGAAACGCCGTGACAGCCGCATCCGCTCCCTTCGCTCCCTTTGCAGAGAGCGATCTGACCTGCCGCTCAACAAACGCTGCTAACTGCGGCCACTCTGACTCAGAATATGAGGTGACATGCGCGGGCTTTGGATTCAACAAGTGAGGTTGCGTTATAAGTTCCTCTATCATTTTGAGAGGCCATTTTGAGTACACTCCAAGTTGTGGAAGGTCGAGTACACAGCTGTCGTCCATCCCTACATCAAGGAGGTTGGTCTATTACGCAAAAAGAAATAAAATAAATATGGTACACTCAAATCTCATAGTTGAAAGAATTGAGGTATTTCCAGCTATTAAGATATCAACTCTTAAGGTGTTCAAGAGCATCCCCCGATCGAGAATGTACCGATCAATAGAAAGACAATGTAGGTTCGATCGGATCATTCGTAGAAAAACCCACAAGTATTCCCGAAGGCATTCTACATTTCTCAACAGAATAATTCCGCATTCGACATCCAACCTCCAAATGTGGAATTCCGCAGAGAGCAAATAAGAACTTCTCAAAAGATCAAAACCCTAAGCAGGAAGACGAAACATACTCACCAGGCCGGATGGTCGCTGTGGTGTAAAGACCCAGCGCTGCTGCGACGGCAGAAGTGCCATGAACGACGGCGTGCTCCCCACTGAGAATGACTTTGCCTGGCGCCCTGGCCTCCACTCGGAACTCACCGGATTCGGTTACGGCCATCTCAACAGCCCTCAGAGATTGACAGAGTGAGAAAAGCAATATCACTCCCTACAGCATTGACAAAAGGGGATGACGGAGAGCACCAAGTTGAAAGAGGAAATGCAGATAGATGAGTGGATTGCGCGAAAGGCGCAGATTCAGGGCCCACAGTCGATCTCCTCGTGATTCGGAGACTGACATACCGGCAGTCAAATGGAGCGACATCGGGGCAGAGGGCAGCCCCGATAGGAAGTCCCACGTTCTTCCCCGCTTGTGCCACCTCTCCTCCACACTTTCGTTTTAAGGTGGGTTATTGCATTCGTGTGGAATGTTCAACTTTGAAGCCTCTGCGTGGTTTGGAATGTTCGAACCACCTGTGAAGCTTTGAACCTCAGAAATTTAGCACCGCTAAACAATTTCGCGTATGCGGGGCAACGCGATTATCAACTCCTTGAATAAGCTTTGTCTTCTGTGGAAAATAGTATGCTGACCTTGAGATTCTCGCACATGCACTTGAAGGTTTCGACATTCTTAGTAATTTGACAGATCAGGGCATAAGAACGATGAGTTGAGGGTCCCTACAACAGGCTTCATCAGATGAGGACTCCAGGGCAAGCCTAATTCAAAACAGTTTCGTGCACCTTGTGATCGTCCTTGGCAGGCCTGAGACCCGATTTCAAGTTTCAAACCTAGACAGATACAATCATGTCCCTCGTTTTTACAGGCTAATTGCAATTGCCACCATCCCCACATTCCACAACCGTAGCCTAAATTTCTCACAAGGAAAAGCGACGAAGAGCAATGGTGAAGACACATTGATCGGGTTACAGATCACTCTCATAAATCTCCTAAATGGCCCAAACAAAATTTGCTGTGCACGAAGCAGGTTGGGATCAGACTCCAACAGAAGTTTCAGCTTCATCATCTGTGAATATTCAATACCGAAATGACACGTTTGTGGCTCCCTGTGTTTTCACCATCTGCGAGCAAAGCTCTACCTTTTTGAGCTACTACATCCACAAACATTGGAGCATACTTGCTATTACAATCCGGAGCTTGTTAGGACTATTGTACAAAATCTGCACAGCCTGCGGGTTTTGTCTCTGCATAAAATGAGCTGCCAATTTCTCGATGATTTTGCTATAGCTTTATTAAGAATACTATGAATACTGTCAGGTTGTGTGCAGCTTCAGGGTGGAGGCCCGGACATTATCTCCAGCCACAACAACGCTTCGCCAACTTTCTGCTTCTGCAACCGCGCAACTGCCAAGTGAGTACCTACAAGAGATAAATTGAGGCATAACCTGCAATACCACAACAGATAATCTCGCTATTGATGCATGAGTACAATTCGGCTACCGATTCCAGTAGAATTACCTTAAGTCTCAACGTCTGCAACCGATTACCAATTTCTAGTCGAACTTGGAGGTCCTGCTGCTGAGTGCTCATCGAACCCCAAAGATTCTGGATGTGCTTCTTTTCTTCTTCCTGAGCAATCAGAAACTAGTTCAGATAGCTCCAGTCACGCAATCAGAAGTAACTAATGATAAAAACAAGCAGCCTCAAGATCACGCGATAGAGAGACCCTTACTTCGCATTTGATCATGTGCTTTTCGAAGGCGGAATGCAACGACTCTAAGCATTCTTGCTTCTTTTGCCGGTCACACCCTTGGTTGGCCTGATGAACCAACCAATTGGATCGTTCATTGTCTTTGTAAACACGCCTTAGCAGTAATCCTTACTTCCACGCTAATTTGAACTATTGAGCGGAAAATAAGGACGAGAAGCAAGTGAATTAGTGTACAGTGAAAAGGCCGCACACACCAGGAGCTGTAGGAGCTGAGCAGTTTGAGGTACATCGACGCTGCACGCTTCAATGGCAGTGAGAGCACAAGCAGTCATTTGATGAGCGCCCGAAACAAACTGCTCAAATTGTCTCTGCGACTCTTCTGTCAATGCCTCCACGGTTTCCGAGGTTAACCCATTCTTGATGTCGTCCGCCGTCTTCAGTTTCCCAATTCCATCCTCTAGACATCGGAGTAAATAGAGTGTATAATTCTTGCAACAGGTTTTTTTAAGGAAAGTGAAATAAAATTTCAAGGGAATGAGCATACCCATAATGCCGGTTGTGGTTCTATGCTGTTTCACCATAAATATTCCGCCTCTTATTCGATCATCTCTATGGTATCCTACACAAGACAGATGATGCCAGGGAAGTAAGGATCTCTTGCCAGGAAATTTGGTGGACAGGATGAGGGAGCACGCGGGTGGCTCATCAATGGAGTTAGCAATCCAGATGGAAGGACTCTGCGACGCTAAGGTTACAAGAAAAGTAACGTGAATCGAAGCATGTAAGAATTGGATAGTTTCGCTCGAAGTCAGTACGCAGGCAAGTTTTTCAACAAGGGTGACGAATCAGTTTATGGAATCGGACAAGATCCGTACATCTCTCTACCAGGGTTAATCTAAACCTGTTGGATACTATTGCTAGGGAAAACAACGTGTGATGCATGACGGAAACATCCACCTAACGCTCACGATAATCTCTGCTCTCGAAAATTTTACTTGCGCTGGAAAATCGTAAACAGAACCAAACAACGATCGCTAGTGCGACAGACAACCGAAATGCTGGAAATCAACTGAAAGCTACGGTGAAGAAAAACCCTCGCACTGACTCACATGAATCCCTTGCAGCGACGAAAGAGTACAAGCTCCATCCTTGCACTCGTTATGCTTTGAGGAAACGACTATATTTGTCCTTCTCCTGCTGAAATATTTTGATACCGAAACAAGCATTGTACACTCGTGCGCTCTCCACGAGACACGCACCGCAATTGCAGAGCTCGGTGAAGGCATTCATCTCCTTTATAATACAAATTCCTTGCTCGGAGGAACATGGCAACTATTCATTTCTAAGAATAAAAACTGAAAACAAGATCTCCAATCTCCAAGCCTGATTCCATAGCATTCTGTGCCCAACCAACACAAACTAAAATGCCTACCGGTCACAACTTTGGCTGAGAATGCAGAAATAATTGAGGATTTATGCAGTGTTGATCGTGCTAGAAGGGGGGTTACTCCACGCACAACCTTTCTATTGTTAGCTTTAACATTTCTACACGTAGGTTGAAGTTTGTCTTGCAGTTTGTGCCAATTAATTTATAGCAGACGGCGGCGATAGATTTCGTTTGCTTGACTTCAGAGGTACTATTACCCAAGGCTGAACGAAGCCAGTAAATTACGCAACTACAAGCCCGCGAAGCACGTGTTAAGAATCGTTACAGCCCTCTTCCGCCGCTTCCGACAACCACATGACGAGTAGCTGAAGAAATGTTGTGCACATTTGCCTGGACAATCCAGCCATAGAATGGGTCTCAGAGAAACCACATTCGAACCAACACAAATGGAAGAAGAGCAACCTCGCACTCGCACTTCAACAGCAAACCCTAATCGAACAATGTCTCGCATCACATCAGGAACCCTCTGATTTGGATTGTTGCAATTGTTGTTGATTTTTCTTTAGCATCGTGGCTCAACATGTTTATGCATATGATGGATTTTTCATTGCAAGATTTGTCAAATAACAGAGTTGTAAAATGTCTTCGGTGATGATGGATTGCTTCAGTCAGTTGGTACACATAGTGATTTTTTGAGAAACTGTCAGACTGTGTCAAATTATTCAGATCATTCTTCTGAACAATTGAATTGGCATTTATGGAGGATTTCTTTTTTCTTTTTTCTTTAGGGTTTTCAGAAGATGGGCACTCCAAAGTAGTGAATTACAATTTGAGACGATATTGATGAATTCTGTGCATCTAAGACAATAAAATTAGGTGGCTTATATTAGACAAGCAAATTTATCAACATGAGTAAGGCTGTTGAACAATAGGTGCTGAACGTAGTTCATACAATACAACCCATTCAACTTACCAACTAAATGTTTGTAACAACGTTATATTCAACTTAATAAATTCAAATTAGTCAAAAAATAAATAAATAAATAAATAAATAAATAAATTGGTGAAGATTAAAACATTAATATTAAAAACAAATGTAATCAGAGGGAAAGGGGAAAAAAAAAAAAAAAAAAAAAAAAAAACGTATATATATATATATATACACACACACATACATACAAACCAGAAGCAAATGGCGATTTTAAAAATGAGGTTAAATTACAAAAATCATAAAGTACTAGAAAACAGTACTTCAAATTTTAAGTATAAAATTTTGAATTCAATGCCTAGTGAAGATGTTGGAGGTTTCTAAGGCTATATGAGAAATCTATCACACAAATAATTGGTTACCAAGTCAAATCAGCATATTAAGTCAAAACACTCCAATTTAGTTAGCAAGAATAAGTGTAGGATATAGTATCGTGGTCAGATGGTTCAGAATTCAATAATTTAAGCAATTTATTAAACATTATAAAATCTTATCTATAGCTAAAAGAACCAACATGGATTTTAAAATAAGTATATCAAAAGTAAAAATTAATGATTTTATTTTCAAAGTAATAACTTAAATTAAATATAATAATAAAAATATCTATAAACTAAACAGGACCAGACCCTGCACACTAGCAATATAATTTAACGCCAGTATTCTATTCTTAATATGTACCAGCTCTTTTTTTAAAATAAAATTATTGACATCAAAAGGGTTTGATTTTTATATATAAGATGCATATGAAAGTTCTTGCACTTATGTAATTAACAACATAACACCTTTAAATGTATCCATTGCATCTTCTATAAATCAAAAATTACAACATTGTCTTTTTATTCAATTTATAATACAAGTATATATATATCTTACAAGTTAAAAAATTGATTTATTTTTATATAAATATGTTTTTTTATCTTTAATAAATGAAAAATATTTTTGCATTATATATATATGTATGTATGTATGTATATATATATATATATATATATATGTTCAAATGTTTAAATATTTTTTTGTTTCTTTTTCTTTTTTAAATATTATTCTACCATTTATAATTTAGAAAACCACATAGTTAATGTCTGAAAACTTTTGAAAATTGTTTTAGCAATTTTTTTATCCATAGTCAATAATGAGCTTGTTGTCTTTGTAGTGATAATTGTTTTTTTTTTTTCTACCTCAGTTAATATAAACTTTGTCTATCATTTTATAATATTTTAATACTAAAAAGTTACTAACCCATATGTTAAATAAACATTTTAAATTTCAGTTCGCTTATATGATTATAGAATAGAATTATTACATTTTTGTGACTTAATCATGTATGATAATACTAGCACTCTATCATTTACCATACAAAGTTACTTCACGTTTTTATGTAATTACTATAAAACTGTTTAGAAAGTAAAATTATTCAAATAATAAATATTTTCATGTCAATTGTGTTTGTTACTTGATATCATTTTTTTACTTCTAAAAAACAATATGAATTATAATTATTACTATTATTATCATTTATTATTAACTATAATAATCTAAAAAGATCTAATTTATTCCTTCAAGTTAGGTATGATAAATTTTATTAAGATAATAGCCATTTGTTATACATCCTTATGTTATTCTAAAATAAATATATGACAATTTTCAATTGTAGATGTGTTCTGAAAGATACTTTGCATAGTATTATAATAATAATAAAAAAATCAAAGATAAAAACAAAAACCTATAGTATTGTGTGTGTATATATGCACACACAAAAGTAATAGTAGGTATTATAATTTTTTTGAAAAATATTATAAATGTATCAAACCAAATAATTAATCAATTAAAGTTATATAATGTTTTTGAATCACATGTTTTTTTAAAATTAATATCTAACACATGCTATAAAAGCAATCTCTTTGCACTTTATATATATATATATATATATATATACTCCTTATACATATACACATTAATTCTATATAACTCCTCCCAAATTGAGAGTTTAAGGATAAAATTTGTTTGTAGATCATCATCCACAGAATGCAATCCTTTTCACCTTTACCCCTACATAAGCTTCACTTGGTATTCTTTCATTGCCAACACAATCACACTAAAATTTTCAAACTCTGTTGGGCCTATACAAAAAACAAAAAAATATATATATATATATCAAACATGCCAGTTCAAAATGTTTTGGTCTATCTTAGTTGAATACCATTAGTTTGTTATTTATTTATTTATTTTAAATGTCTTCCTTAGTTCCTGAGTTCGGAGGAAATTATACTATAAACCACTCATACATTTATTCTTCTTGTAATGCTAACTTACTACTCCTTTTAGAAGTCGTTTATGAGAGCAAATTTATACCAAAAATAATAGTAAAAAATATAAATTATATTTAAGCTTATACATACAAATATTGTCTTTGCAGTGATAACAACATTAAGTTCACAATGAAAAAATAGCAATACAATCTGGTTTAGATCAATAATTTTGATATATATATATATATATATATATATATATATAATATTTAAATAAATAAATAAATAAATAAATATAAATATAAATATAAATAAATATATATATATATATATATATATATCAAACAAGTCGCTTAAGAACTTATTTGGCCTTATACCATTCATATATTAGCAACATGCACCTAATTTAAATAGTATCTTGTGCAATCAATAAGAAAATTCTACATCAAATTTATCAATTTTATGTACAACACTATTTAATGCAGAATAAAAACATTTTAATGCACACTAATACAAACAAATCAACAGCTCAAAATATGCTTATTTGTAAATCATAAAATATCATCATTCTACTACACCCTTGTTTTTATTTTGGTTAGCATTTGGTATTCTTTAGAATACCAAATGTATCTATATGTACACGAGTCAATCGGTGAACAATTTCCAGAAAGGCATCAGTACAATTTATGAAAGGAAATAGTAAACTGCTTTTGCCACCACGTTACACACAAAATCTATCTTTAGAAACAGATTACTTTTATAACAGCAGCACTAACTCCCATTTTTGGGTTATCATTCTTTTCTCATTGTTTGTTTGTGGACAATCGCACAACTATACAAACCCACCAAACCAAGACCATTTCATTTGTTTGTTAATATTTAATTCTTAATTCAAACGTATTCTTTGACTAACACAACCCTCGAAAAAGGTCCAACCCCCAAAAAGTCAAAAGCTGTTTGGAGCCGCTAAGGCGAAGATTTCGTGACCCATGACGACGGAAGTGAGCATCCAGTCCTCCTGTGACGGTCGTCTGCCAACGAACGACGATAAACGAACGTCCGTCAACGACGCGACAGGGTCTCGTTGTCGAGGCGCGCGGAATGCGATGATTTTGGACCTGGTCGTCGACATTGTTGGGCGCCGGCATCTCACGTAATGGGCATCGGGTTTTGTCGCAAAAGATTTCCAATTTCGACAATATATGCATCGCCAAGCCGCAAGATTGAGGAATTGCGAGGGAGTGTGGCTGTGCTGGGGGGTATAGTTCTCTCGGCGCGTGCGAGGGCATTGCATGCCTCGGCAATGGAAACACAGCATCGTCTTTTCTCCCACCCACTAAAGCACTCATCCGACCCACTCCATCGATGTAAGAAAAGCTATGCTTTTGCAACCCATTGAATGAAAAAGTGAGGGTATCGGAATCAGGTTTCGAGGATCCGTTGGACGCTATGACGGAAATGGAAACTGACTGCAGTTCGTTGGGAAGTCGCTCAGAGAGGGTGAGCGCGAGAGAGACAAAAGATGACGGTGAAGGAATCCCAAAGAGCGAGGGAGGGACTGGAGTCGCGCCTGTGGTCGAAATAATTTCCAATCACAAGAAAATCGGCTCTGCTCTGCTTCAATGGCCCCTCCACTATGAATCGCCCGTCGCATCTCGTCAGTCCGATGGGCTAAAGTTATCGAAGCCCCTCCTAAATATTGCACCCACATGCGTCTACCGGTGGCTGCCAGCACAGCTCCACTACAGCCGAGCTCGCAGGTCTCTGGAAACATCCGTGCCCCCTAGGTCGATAAACTTCCGGTTTTGAAGTGGCGCATTGCGTACTCATCGTGCCTGTCATATTTATGAAAGCGCGCTTCGATCGATGTAGTTTGGTGACCGGCTCAGATTGCGAGAATCACGACGATCCTGAGCCGGAGTGGCGGAGGGCGGGTTCAATTCGGCACTAGTCGCGGGAATTCTTGATTTTCGACGAGTAGCGAAGCTGGTTTCAGTAGATCGGAAGTGCGGCGAGAGTTTGACTTGTGAGGACCAATGTGGATATGAAGTGATCGTTCACACTTTTGGAGAATTCTGACGCCAGAGCTTGGTTGAGAAACATGGTGGGTTCGTGTTACCAGGACAGTTCTGGATCTGCTCACGACGTCGCGTGGACATAGCCGGATGTGCGATTTTGTTTTTTATTTTTTATTTTTATTTTAATACTTGCTGGATAAGTTGCGAGCTTGTTGGAAGATTTTGTGACTGGTTAGTGGGCATTGCGCAATGTTGTCGGCGGTTGGATTCCAAGCTTCAGAGTGCAGAGGTTTCAAGGGGCAGAATGCAGTCAGGATCATGTCGAAATTTTATGAAATCTTGCAGATTTGAGGAAGCTTGATACGCAAGCATTGAGAGTGTGAATCTGAGGTTTAGGTGGTGGATCTGAGATTGAGGCACTAGATATGGCTTCCTCTTCTGCTGGTTCACAGGAGACGTCTTCGGCCACGTCGACCCCGATGAGGTCTCCACTCTCAAGTTTCATGAGGTCGCCCATGTCGTCGAGTTCGATGATGCCGTCTCCTGTCTCGTCACGGTTGACTGTGGAATTTGAGACTGCGTTCATGATGGAGGCGGAGGACCCCATTCGGTTTACTGGTACAGACATCCTCCCCTACCTCTCGCAATCAACTTCTCGCTCCACGAGTACAGACTTCGACTCTCAGCGTGACGAGTCGGGATCAGGTTCAACCTCCTTTTGTGATCTAAATGACTCCAATCGCATCACCCTTGCAAGCCTCATCGGACTCCCTATGGCCGAGTCTTTTAGAAATTTTGGAGAGTCTCTGCGCTTCATTGCGCGTGCAGACAGCCACTACGACAGCGGGAGCAACCGGACGATGGACCTCCCGCCGCGTCGTTCCAGGTCGTGTAGTTTGTTTTCTGAGCTGTTCCGCTGCTTGCAGCGAAGCAAGACGGCTTGTGTCAGCAGCGCTCCGGTGGCAAGAAACTTAACAAATTTGACCTCGTTCACTATCACGGAGGTATCCGAAGAGGAGGAACAGGACTCCGAAAGCGACACTGGTCCAACAATTTTCGAGAATTCTGTGTTCGTGGATCGGGACACATTGGGAAGTCGCATCTACGAATTCAATCCTCTGTATATTTCGGACACAATGTCCGAGGTGGATCCGTCAGAATCCAGGAATTTGAGCCTCTCTAAGGAAAAGCAACTTTTGGGCGGCGAGGAAAGCTCCGGGTCAAGCACGTAACCTGATATCCAACCCACGTCACCAATTCGGACCGTCCTCACCAACATTTGTTGCAGGCTGGGAGACGAGTGCCCAAGAGATTAATGCCTTTCATGTTCGTTTTTTTGGTTGGATTAAGCCGGACTCTCACGGATCCAACCTGTATCATACAAACTTCTTGAAGGGCACCAACATTTTGGTCTGCGAAGCGGAATGCTTGTGACCAGGCTACGAGGGATGAAGTGACATCTAATCTTCAGATCTTTAGTTGAGCTCAGCTGCGAGTTTTTTTATGGAAAAGAAAAGAAAAAAAAACAAAACAAAACAAAACAAAAAAGTTTACTAGAAACCGATAGGTCTAGAGTGTCAAGAGATTTAACCAAGATTTGATTGCGCTGCCTTGAGTTGGGCTTAGTTAAAATTACTTGAGACACCCTTGAGTCGTTCTTATGATTCAAACGATTGATCATACCCCAAATTGTATCTTGTTTACGATCGAATTCAACAACACGCTCCTTCCACACATGCTTGCTGATGTAGCTGCTCGGGATGCCGTGTCAACCCTGAACCCTAAACCCTAAACCCGCTTGATAGTCTATTGATTGTGATCGACTTAGTGTTGATCCTGCTTATATTACACGCAACCTCAACGCTCCCCTATCACTCTCGTTGTGTGCAGAAATTTCTACCTTGCTATGTAAGCTCGGGACTCATTTAATATGTAGATTTGCAAGTGGGGCATTCGACAATATTAGGATTGTGTAAATTATCAGTAGAAACTATCAACTGAGCATTTGTGGAATCGATGGCAATTGGAGGTCATTTGTACTCTTCGTCTGGATCTGATGTTGAATGAATCTATTACAGTTACTGTTGCATGTTACTAAAACCTCCTGCAATGGTTTGCTTGTCTTGTAGAGTTAATAGATATGGACTTTTTTAGCATTGATTTCTACAGGATTCTGCTGACTTGCACAGTGCACTGCTATTTGAATTTGATATTTGAACATGTCTTCTAACGTCCTCAAAACAATGAGTGGAATGGTTTTATTACGACGCACTGTTGTACTGTGAAAAGGTATGTTGGAAAGTGAACCTGGAATGGATTTCTTTTCCGTGAGATAGTTTTAAATTCTTTCTGAGATGGTTTTAGTATTGTATCAATTAAATTTTCTATTTTTGGGAAAATATCATACATGCCCCCTGAAATTTGCCGAAATGTCAAGATTACCCCTGTATTCTTGACAATATCAAATCTACCCCTTCCTTTTGCGATAATTGCAAATTTGCCCTTCAACGTGACAAGCTATCTATTTTCTGTTTTTTTAGTTTGAACTGCGTGCCGCGCAGATTTGGGCCCCACATCTTTTCCTCGCATCTCGGGCACCTCCCAAAATGGACGCCGCCTCGGATCACAGACACACAGACTTTGCTACTTCCACTGTTTTGCTCAACTGAGCCAATCCACGTCTTTCTCGCATCGCAAAGTTCCTAGACTTGTTAACCGTGGGAGTACTCATAACTTGGAGTTACCAGGTTACTCCATTATTTATACTCATCCACACTGGTTACACAAACATTGCACCCGAGACCTTGATGCTTCAGAATGAGTACGTTGTTTTCAAACTTTATAACTATACAAGCGACAGATTGCTTATTTCATCGCCTTAGTCTTTATAAAAGCTCATACCAAAGTCACCGATTGTTTTTTAAAGAATATGTAGCCTTAAATCTGGTCTGTATGGGTTGTGTTCATGGTTGCACTTACGATTACACTTAAAGGTTGCGATTTTAATTGCTGTAGGGATGGTTTGTGTGTAAATTGAAGTTGAGAATTGCAGACACCCAGTTTGCACTGAGGCTTTGGTTTGGCAGGACCAAGGAGACCAAGTCGAGCTTGAATTGGAGTTTGGGTTGGTGAACCTTTCCAAGATTCCCATGTTTAATAGTGTCAATATGATTTTTGGAGTATTGCGTTGCTGATTAGGATCGAGTGCAAGTCATAGCCGCTGGTGAACCAATTTTGCTAGAAATTAAGTTCCATAACCTAGTGCTATCATAGCCACTTTCGTTGTCAAGGTATCCACAACTATGGGGTGAGATTGTCGTCCAACGATTTCATATCTTGGGGATTTGAAGCTGCGTGTGGTGGCGCTGACGATACTCAAACAAGCTCATGTGATAATTGCCTGAGGAACACGTTTACTTCTTCCGTATTAGTGCTTAAAAGTTCTTAACCATGAGGCTTTGATTCGTACCAGCTGAAGCCCTTCTGCAGTCAAATTAGTCAAAAACAAGCAAGTGGGGATCGTGAAGGGACATGGTCGAAGTACATAATATTCGCCGCCTTGAGCTTGAGACGAATATTGATCCGACCCCCAAGATTTCCTGTACGCCTTTGTTGTGAATAAGCTCCAAGAGGCACGTCATGTTCATGATAAAAAAATATTTTCTGGATATTAATCTGCACATTTCACCACTACAAAAAAAAAACTTCTCTAATCTCCGTAGATACATCCTCATGTTGTAAGTAGGTTCGCAGAACAGCTTGAGTAGAAGTAATAAAAGTCAATATTGTCAAATGGCAATACAATACTAAGTGCAGCGGTCAAGTGCAATGGTCTATCGTTTGCATTCACTGTGAATGCAAATGTTGATATCGTTTGAGGATCCATCGATCTGATGACAAATTATTGTGTTCAAAATGTAAATGTTGTAACGAAAACGGATAGCTACGATCGCTTGCAACAAAACAGCACAACTTTTCTATAATTGCTTGCCTTCTCTCCTAAGGGAGCATATGCATTTCCACACACACTACGATGTTTAATAAACGTCAGCATCCTGCGGTACGTTGGCAGGGTTGGGGATTACCAACTCAGAATGATTTTGTGGAACCACATGCAAATGAGAACCTTCCTTTGATGTGCACCGTGACTTCTTTGCCTAGGGAATTGACGTGGTGGAAATTCTTGCACAACTCACTGCAGACTAGTTTACAGAAAGCTGCATACGGAGCTTATAAAAAGACTCTCCTCCGCCGAAAACATGACACCTCTGTCATACTCACTCTTCGTGAGGAAGAAGGTGATGGATTGGCTCAGTTGAGCAAATCAGTGGAAGTATCAGAGCCCGCACTCTGTATCTGTCTGTGTCTGTGTTCCGAGGCGGCGTCCATTTCGGGAGATGCTCGAGATGTGAGGAAAAGATGTGGGGCCAAAATTTCAGGGGCATGTGTGATATTTTCCTTCTATTTTTCATGAAACTGATGAATATCAGTCGGAATGGTTATATGAATTGGATGACTGTTCTAAAGCACTTGTTGAGATCTTTTGCATTTCGAAGAAGCCATATTTTGATAGAAATTTTTAAGTTTTCAAGAATGTCATTAAATTGCAAAACTGTTTAGTATCTTTAAAAATCAATATAAGTTTACTTGATAGACATTTTAAATGTCTGATGGTAAAAAAACTACGCATATAATCACTTTGAACCAGTATTGAATGCATTGCTATTATCAATTCAAAAACAAATACATATATACATATATATATATATATATATATACAAGCAATAATGTGAAACATTAATCATGAAGTCTACTCATTTAATCACTATTGATGTATTTTTAAAAATAAAGTAAAGGCTTTTTAGAATTACAGTAGAAGTTTTCTAAAAACACACATTCATAATTGGTTGCACCTGTTTGTGGCCATAAATGTCCTTGTATGCGCATAACAATGACACAACTTGCTGTGCAGTTTTATGGCAGCCCTGAAAGTTTCCAAAACTTTTTTTCATCAGATTTATGAACTTGACATTTTTTTTAAAAAAAAATTATCTTATTTTATTTTTTGTCTTTGGACATGATGGAACTAAAATTTAAAAGCCTTTTTCTTGATTTATTTTTGATGGGTAAATGAATCTCAGAAGTTTAATCAATCCAAGTGACATTTCAATTCAATGTGCTTTTTCTGTACAAAGGAAAAAAGGAATTGATTGTATGATTGATATTCAATTCACCAAATCTCAATTGCAAAGTTTATTACGTTTTTTTAAAACCAAAAGTATTGACTTGGGATATTCTTAGACTAGGTATGATAAACATTAGTTGCAATTCAAATATTTTTTAATTAAAAAAATTATGATTTTATTAAGGTTCTGAGATTATCTGAATTTACATGAAGATATTGTCATACCTTCAAATTTGTAAACATTAGACAAGGAAAAATATCAACCACTCAATCTTCCAAGAAAATTAACATGTAACAATATAAAAATGATCAAATTAGCACATGTTTTCCCACACAAAAATTGAGTAGTTTAAAAAGAGAAGACTTTTTACTTGTTTCTAATTTTGAAGTTAGAATGAGACTAAACAATTTTTTGTAATGCTTTGTGTGTCTTCATTAATATTCTCCGCAAATTGTGTTCTAATTTTTTTTCTTCTTTTATATTATGTCACATGTTTTGTTTAGTTCTATACTTATGGAGTGTTATTAGTTTCTTAATTCTTATTTGATGTCCTTTATTGTAATTGTTTGGATAGTGCATTAACACATTGTTGAGGTTTAGTTCAGATTCTTAAGACAACATTTGATTATTCAAATTGTGTTTCTTTTGTATTTATAATTTATGTTGATTTTTTGTTGTTATATTCTTATTTCTTAACTCATAATTTTAATTATTTATTTATTATAATATTTTTTAAAAAGTGGATTAAAAGCTATATAAATATATTTATATTTTTGAGAATGTTAAATCAACCCCACTAGTGGTTAAATTGATCCACCCAAAAGAACTAAATTATATTAAAAAAAAAATCCTAGAAAAATATAAAAGTATCAAAAGATACAAAGAAGGTTAAAAGACTAGTGTGTTGAGGATAAAAATTGAAATATAAATTGCATTGAAAAGGAAAGTGCCAAGCAGAGGTGCAAGGAAGTTTGTCTCTTTTGACAAACAAACCAAAGAATAATGATGCATAATATAGCGTAATGGGATAGACTGAGAGGTGGATGTTGTGGACTCATGGTGTTCAGATACAATGATGGTTTTGATGGATGTATTGATTTAACCACTCATGGGGTTGATTTAACATTCTCCTTTTGTATATATATATATATATATATATGTTGTATATTTATTGTTCATTTTGTATAATACTTGTGGTATTTGGTATCATACAGTTTAACTCAAATATTTAAACATAGTTATGAATGTACACAAAAAAAAAATACTCATATTACTTGAAAATTGAATCTAATGTTTGTGTTTTTATTTTGTGCTATGATTTGCACAATTGCACGATGTGACGTTTTGTAGCTTTGAGAGATAAAACATGACCAGACAACATTGGTGCCTCTCTTGAGGCCCGGAGAAAGCCTTCACAGAGGTCGACACAGCCGAGGACGAAGCTGCAAAGGCAGCGAGAGGGGGCTGTTGCACACGCTGTGAGTCAGTGGGCTGGTAGCCAGGCGAAGAAGATTACACGGAAGTGAATCATCCATAGCAACCAAATTTGGACGGAGAAAGTGTGAGAAGGCAGAATCGCATCGTCAACAAATTGTCAAGTGATCTTGGAATGTTAGGTTTAGATTTCGTAGGTACACGTTTCACGTAGAGTCGCTTCTTGAGACGTCATTAAGGTTACGGTGTTTCTTTTCTTTTTTTAGAAAATGATAGCATTTTCATCACATATCTCTGCTAACTTTAGGATATTGGTCACTTAGACTAGTGTTGTACTTCGTCACTCGTTGTTCACTGCTTCGATTAGCTTCGTTATGACCGGAAGTGTGCAAAAGTTATCACCATGTAAGTTGCAATCAAATTTGCAGAGCGCTCTTCTGCTCTGCTTCCACGAATTGTGACTGCAGAATTGTGACGAAACCTCCACTGATGCGAACTAGATTTATCAATGCAACAGCTCATTGGACAACTGTATCGAAGTAATTATTCACCGGCAATTTGACTACATGTTGTAGGAGAGAAATGTCTGGCACAGTAAAGGTTTGCACCATTACTGTAAAAATTTGCAGAAACGGTACGGCAAGAGTGGATGAGTGTAGGAAGGTGAGGGGATAGAACTCGCGCGTATGTACAACGTGCAGACAGGAATTGCCATGGTAACTGTGTTCGTTTGCGATCCAGTCGATTGTAGTGTTTCATCGAAAGCGAACGGGCATGTTGACATCAAAAGATTTGTCATAGCAGCCGGTGGATTTGGAAGGATAAGGTATATTCATCGCAGTTCGCAGGGCAAAAATGCCGCATATCGAAACAGGCAACAGAAGCGACAACGTCATATTCAAACGATCCCCCAATCTTTTATTTATAAATGGTTACCATAAGTGTTACACAAGTGATTCTTCTTTGGATATCCACTTATCTACTAAGCTACGTAGGCTCGACGAATCATCTAGTTGGGCCTGGCGACCAAGAAACCGCAGATCTGCACCTGCTTCACATTGTCGAAGCCCAAGACGCGCACGAAGCATCCGGGGAAGGTCTTCTTGCACTCCTCAATCTCCCTCAATACCTGGGCGGGGTCCTGGCATCCGAACATGGGCAACTTCCACATGGTCCAGTAGCGACCATCGTAGTATCCGGGGGATGAGTTGTTGGTGCGGGACACGCCGTCGGCGTTCTGAACACAAGAATGCAGCGATTAGTAGAATGCCAATCGACAAAAATTCAGAGAAAATCAGGGAGGTAGGATACCAAACGGAATGGAGCTACATGCAGCGTCGTACTAGATGCCCTGAGGAAGTATGGATTGCAACGAGAATATAAGGATCCAGTCAAGTAATCAATAAAAAAGGAGCTTTAACCAATTACGGGGGCGACAGAGACAGGGGACTTACCACGTCGAACTCGAGGCAAGGGATGAGCTTCTGCTGGATCATGTAGTCCACCTGCTTGGCGATGGCGTCATCGGACAATGGGGGCAAGTAAGAGAAGGTCTCGAACTTCGTCATGCCAATGGGGTTCCACACCTGCATGCACTGCACACGGCTGCCATTCTGGACGGAGCTCAAGCTCTGGGCCTTGCTGGAGAACAAGGTGGAACTCTTGAGGCCGGAGAAGGCCTTCACGGAGGTCGACTCGGAGGTCGACACAGCCGAGGACGAAGCTGCGAAGGCAGCGGGGGCCACGACGGTGGAGGTGGCGACAACGGAAGCCATTGCAAGCGCTTGGGGTACAAGCGCGGTACTACTGAAACGCTGGATGGAGGGCAGGAAGACAAATTGACTGTGGGATGAGGGAATGATGCGGCGCAGGGAGAATTTTGTAGCAGCAGCGATGAGGTGCGGAGGGAGGAGCGAGGGAGGAGGCTGAGCCGCAAGAGCAGACGCTGAAGGGCGTCCACAAACTGCGAAGCATGTTATCTGTTCCAGGATTTGCTTGCTTGGTCCAGACTCTCGCTCTCGCTCTCGCTCGTGCTTCCATGCCCACAGGCCCCCTCCTCCTCCGTGGACGCCGTCGCCATCAATCAGGATGAACGTATTGTTGGATGTGCGAGTGGATGAATAGAGCATTCATTTTCGCAGTCGTGCTTCGGAACCTTTTTTCACTCAGAACCGTCGCCTTGTTGTGTGGGGATGTGGGGAAGAACAGTTATGTGAGGTGGCTGGACAAGAGGTGTGGTTTTCAAGCTTTTTTTTATATATATATATATATATATATATATTTTTCTTCTAGTCTTAGATTGGAAATTTTTATTTTCAGAAGTTTTCTTAATTAATTAGGGGTTTTTTTGTGACCAATTTTTTTTGTGGTACTGACGATTAGCAATTTCTTTACAATCTTACTTAGAAAAATTAGGATATCCAAACTTGTGCATCAGTCAATTTCAGTTGAAAAAGAAGAATGATAAACTTCAAAGGTAGTTAAGGAGAAAAAAAACATAGAGTACTGTTCAAACTTGTAAAAATATTCTGCAATTGGAAATACATGTATGTTGTGATTTGTAAACTCGTGTAGATCTTTCATTTTTTTAAAAAAACAAATCAATTTTTTAAAATTTGTACAGAGATAGTTAGAAATGAGATTGATTTTCTACAAAGATAAAACACATGAGTTTATTGCTTTATTTAGTATTTGTAAGCTTCTAATTTTTATTTTACAGTAACAAGCCACAAAATTTATATAAGAAATACTATATTACATGATTTAACAAAATTTATATAGTCTTTCTTTTACAGTCTTTCTTCTAATGTTTAACAAAATTTTAATTTTATATATTCTAAATTTTTCAAAGATTTAAAAGATAAAAAACTTTTTTTATTTTTTATTATTTTTTATATACATTAGACTTATTTTGATTTATATCTTCTCATTTCATAATAATATGTGTTTTATTAAAAAGATAATCATCTCTAAAATTTCTATCTTTAACGTATCAAAAAATAAACCACTCTTTATTATTATCATTAAGAGATTATTTAGTTCTTATTTTATTATTTATTATATTTTCTATTGGAATAATTATAATATAGAGTTTCATTAGCTGATAAAAAATATAAAAAATCTAATGATTATTTTTAAAATATCATTTTTAGTAAATTCATTTTTTTTTCAAATGAATGTCTTTTTTCTAAATTTTTACTTAGTAAATCTATGTATATGTATGTATCTATGTATATACATATATTTTAGGAATGAGAACCATATTAAAATTCTATTTTAGTTTAAAATAATTATTTATAATACTCAACAGTATCATTCAATGATTACAAAAAATTACAGTAAAAAGTGCAATCTTTGTTTAAGAAATTAATATTAATTGGAATACATTGTTTATTCTCTTAGATCCTACTTTCTCCCTTCTTCCAACTTCTTTCATAGTCTTTATAGATTAATAATCATGTTCAAAAACTATTAAGATCAAGTAATAAAAATAATTTTTAATGTTTAGACTTCTTCAAAATAATAACATCCATTATATAAATTTTAGTTAATTATCCAAAATTATAATGTCTTCTACATTTTACATTGAAAAAAGGTTATTTTCTTAAGAATATCAAAAAAATATTTTAATATCCTATAGAAAATTCTATAAGATTATAAAAAATTAAAGGTATACAAAAATTGGTAAAAATTTAAACGAGGATTTAATTTTTTATAAACTTCTACCATGTTTAATTTAATTTTTATAATTTATATTTTTCAAAAAAGGAATTATCTTCTAATTTATATACTACTTATTTTAAAAGCTATTATAATGTATTTTTTCAAAAAATTATTAAGTTTAAGACACTTTAATTACTACTTGATTGAAATTTTATTCAAAACTTTGAATATATATTTAACATTTACTAAAACTCTTCACCTATATATTATAGATCTTATTATTTGTATTAATTGGATTATAATCAGAAACCACTATCAATTAGAAAAATATAATAAAATTTGGAAATTAATAAAATATTGCACAATTTTTTTTACAATAAATAAAATAAAAAAATTTAAAATAAAATAATATTTTTTATCTAAATTTTATAAAATTAATATTGAATAAAATAAAAAATTAAATCTAGACTTATTGACATAAAAAGGTGGCCTATATTTCTAAAAATATTATAAATTATTTCAATTATTTAAAAAATATTCATTAGCTAAAATAATCTTCTACAAAATTTATCTCTAATATGCATCAAATCCATGTTATATGCTTGTATTATTTCAAGTTGATATTTTAAGGGTTTTTAATACATATTGTATTATTAAATTTTAAAATGTGACACTTAGATATTCTTTTAAAATTAGTATAACTTGTGATACTATTGTTAATAATATATCAATCTTAGATGACATCACCATAGTTATAAAAGTTGTGACAAATATTGAATTGAACTCTGTGATTATTTAACAACTATATCATTTAATATAAATTAACATTTATTCTTAAGAATCGTCTTCTGATAATAATAAGAAATCTAAATGATATTTTTTTCTACCACGATTAATAAATACTAAATATCTTGGAATACAAAAAAAAGATACATATGAGATAATTTAAAATTTTACAAAAAATAGTTGGAGTAATAAATTTTAAAATATAAAAAATAAATTATATTTCAGGTAATTAAATATATACTATTTTATTATTCTATTATTTTATTTTATAGAATATATTATAAAAAACGTATTTTTGACTAAGAGATTATCAATAAGATATATTTTCTAATAATTAGCTATATATATATATATATATATATATATAGCTAAATAAAAAGTAAATATAAGAAAATATAGATTATTTAGATATTATATATTTTTTTAAATCAATTCTTTACTTCTTGTTGTAATACCTTATAATATTCTGATAAACAAATCCAAACTCCAAAGGCAATACTTTGAGTTACAAATTCATTTAAACTACATCTAATGAGCTTAGATTTTTATATCTAAAGAACAAAATTATTGATTTTTTTAAACTAATGCATTTGATCTACCTCTATTTTTGTAAAAAGAAAAAAACTTAAAATGTCTTCAATCTACCTTACTTGGTCTATAGTTTTAATAGCAAGTATATTGTTCTTTAATTTATGTTTTCTTTGACTTATATTTAGCTTGTTATTCTCTCAACTTTGTTTTCTTTGTCTTGCTTGGACCTCAATTTTAGACTTATGATTAATGTCATGTCGATGCTAGGATATCTTCACAACTTGAAAGAAAACAAGTGCATATTCCCTCTCTTTAAAACATGTCATAAAGTACATGAATTTATACTTAGTGCTAAAAAGATGTTGTGTTGTAATATAACTATTAAGTGAAAGAAATAGAAAATTATTATATCAAAAAAATCTTATAATAGATTTAAAAATAACATAAGGAAGAGTTAAGGAGGTAGTCAAAAAAATTAAGTACTTTTATTACTTTTTGGATAAAAAAACTTCTATTAACTTTGTAAGACTATAAATAAGTCAAAATAAAGTAAATTAAAAAGAAAAGCTTATAGGCATCTTTACGTGAAAGTAAAGAGTAACTTTTAATAATAAAAAATACTTAGAATGAAATCAAAGAGGGCCAATAATGAACGAAGATCACAAAATTATGCACCTATGGCAAATGTAAGGTTTTTTTATTGATTAAAGAGTAGAGTTTGAATTAAAAATTTATAGAATATCTTTAAATATTAGTTTTGAGGGATTTATTGGCATAATTTCTTTGTGAGAGCTTTGCAAAATTAAGATTATTTTGGACGACTTAGTTTTGTAGTGACTAAAAAAGAGATTGTATTTTAGTAAAATATGTGAATTATGTAGCCAATCTATATGTAAAATTTTGTGGATTTGTAAAAGTATTTGTGCTAGATATATATTCTAATATAATTTTAATTTGACAATTAAATCAAAAGTAATTTAGATTTAAGTTAAAAAATAATCTAAAAAATTAGGTTTTGAAAGTCTATGAATGTTCTTAATATTTTGGCAATTGTTTTATTATTTTGGATTTTTTTAATACCCATAATTAACTTAGTTTTTAACATTTATGTATATATATATATATATATATATATATATATATATATATATATATATATATATATATTTACTTCCCTTATTTTCTTATTTCTTCTCTATATCTAATTCTTCTATTTTTACTCAATCTAATCTCCTTTACTAAATTATTCTATGGATTTAATTTTTGTTATTATTTATTTTATCCATAATTTTGAGAGTAAATTTATACTATGATATTTTTATTCAAAGGCTTATATCAAATTTTTTATTAATAAAATTTTATAATATTTTATAATATTTTTTATTTTACTTATTTCCTCTAATAAGTATATTAATTGTTTTTGAAGATATGTTATTGTAAATTTATACTTAAATATTTTAGTAGAATTAAGTATTTTATTATGAATGCGTAGAGGTAAACGGTATAAGAGATGTCCACACAATAAAATAGAGATGTAAATTTAGTAATTTTCTTGATAATTTGATAACTTGAGATTAAAGATTTAAAAAAAGATAAAGAAAAATAATATTTTATTTTGTCAAAAAATTCTTAATGGTAGTAGAAATAATAAAAAAAAAGTAATTAAAAAAAAAAAAAAAAAAAAAAAACCCTTTCTTGCCAACAAAGAAGATTTTTGTACCACAGTAGTGCGAAAAGTTTGATACATCTTTAGGATTGCAAAACAATATATTGTCAAATTTAGTCCTATAACAACTTGAATACAGCAACTGATTAAAATATTTGTTCTCAAAGGTAATAAGGATCAAGGCTATAATACAATACATATCTAATTGATACTTGATATTGGATGAACAAAAAATCCAAGTGGCTCCCTCAACTTGAGTAATTTAATAAACCATAAAATTTTAATCGTGTCTAATTTTCCAAAATTTATTTTGTGTATATATGTATGTGTGCATATGTGTGTATGTTTTATTTTTATTATAATTGATTTTTTTTTATGTTGATGTATATGTTTATTTTTAATCCCAAATCTTTTAACTTTCATTCTTTCTACTAATATTTTAGAGATTTCCAACAATTGATTTCTTAGTGATGAGTTATTCACAAAATTAAAGTTAGTACTTGGCATCTATGTTAATAGATACACATAGACAACAAATAGATGAAGTAAAAAGATTAAAATGTGATCTAAGTACTTCTTTTAAATAATTCTAAGGTTCAATAATATTATTAAAAATAAGAGATTTTCTATGGATTTAACATAGATCCTAGTTTTGTAGATTTATCAACCAAATACAACTTCCAATTATAAAAATATTAAATACTAAAATTTTAAGTTACATATAATAACACCTTAATTAATCAATTAGTTTTAATAAAAAAATAACTTTCAATAACTATTTTTTACATAAGCTAGATGTGTTTTATAATAAAATTTCAATACATGTATAGAAAATATAACTGGATTGTTTTAGTTGAATTTCAATATTCTGAAAATAAACAACACATGTATAGAAAATATAACTGGATTATTTTAGTTGAATTTCAATAAACCAAAAAATAACTATTAATACCAGAAAATAGATTCCATGATTAATTGCAACAACTAGGTACTATTATTTTAACTAGGTACTATAAATTTATATATTTATGAAAAACATACTAAATATTTAGAACAACACAATTGACTAGGGTTATATATGAAATAATTTAAGTACAAAAATTAACATTATAAAATTTATAAAAGAATAAATAGTTTAATCAAAAAAATATTGCTTTTAATATTTTCAATTTTTTAAAATATGTTAAAGAAATATTTTTATTAAAATATATTTATAAAAAAAAATATCATAGTATATGATAAAATACAATAAAATATACAGAATTTTTTCAAAATTAAAAATAAAATTAAAAATATAATCACACACCTTTTAGAATTATTTATATTTTAATCATTTTTTACTAATTTATTTTGTATCTATTTAAATAAGTATGCTATTTTTTTAAAAGATAAATTTATACATTTAAAAATAGAAAATAACATAAAAAATAATATTTTATTCAAAAAATTTAAGAAATGTAAGATTTTACATAAAAAAGAAATTTTATTTTAATTATGCCGATTTTTTAGAATATATTATTATAATTAAGAGTCTGAAGAAAATTTCTAAAAATATATATAATTTTTAGATTAAATAATTTTAAGATATAATAGAATGCTCATAATAGAAATTCATAACTTCCAAGAATATTTCATATGCTTTTATTAATTGTTGCATTACTGATGTGTTGATCTGCAAGGACTAAATGAATTGAATCATATATGTCCAAGAAAAACTTAAAATTTAAAGATAAAATTGACCACTAATATTATTTTATTATTTCTAATATAATATTATATTTAATTTCATTTTATTTTATATTAAAGAACACTTATAAGATCCAAAAGATTAAATATAATCACATGGACATTAAGAATACAATGACTTCTCAATAGCAAGAATTTTTACATTAAATTTTATAAATTATTTAAGAGATTATTAGAAGAATTAATGTCTTAATCATTAAAGAATTCAAGTTTTTTTTTTTTTTTTTTTTTTTTTTTTTTAACCTTTTACATATTTTGTTTTAGATAATTTTTTATTTTATTAATCTGATGGACTTATTTTATTTTATTTTTATCTTTTTTCTAAAATCTTGATAAATTTATTTAAATATCTTCTAATCTCAAATTTTCATAGTTATATTTTAATGATGAATCATTTGATCAATACAATAAATTTTGTATATTATACAAAAACAACTTCAATTAAAAAAACTTAGTTAATTAAATTTGGTTTTATTAAAGAGATTTTTTTTTTAATAAATAAGATAATTTTTACTACTTTTTATAATGCATCAATGGTATTTTGTATATTATCTTTCTAGTTTGTTTAGAAATTAATTACTTGCTAATTTGTTTTTAAAGCTAATATTGACTCTTTTTTTTAAATACTTTTCTTCTCTTTTTTTTATCTCTTCTATATTGTAGAGATTTTTTTCTCATAACCTAATATGTTTTTATATTTAGCTTTAATCATTGTTTGATTTTAATTTATTATTAGTTTTATCTTTTAATAAATTTCGACTAATTAAATTTATATAAATACGTTAAAATGTTTGTTTTAAATATATAATATTAATAAATAAAAATTATAAAATAAATAATCTCGAATAATAATAATATTTTTATATGTACACAATATATTTTATTAAAAAATACATATAAATTCATATTTAAAATTTAATCTCAATTTTTTTAAATTACAAGAATATTGATATAAGTATCTAATAAAATAAATATGTATATATAATAATTAACATATCCAAAACAAATAGCACATATATTTTATGACTTATATGTATTTATTTATAACATATTATGTTACCTTATTTATATACTTTCGATTTACTAATACATGCATGTTATTTATAAATATTATTTTTATTTTATAATATATTTTTAATTATCTTTGTTTTATAATTATATATATATATATATATATATATTACAAAATCATTCTAAATACATTATTTTACTTATTTGTGGTGTGATCAAGTTATTGTAACATTATTTTTTAGGAAACTTTTTTTTAAAAGCGAATATTTCATCAATTATTTTTTGTGACTTCAATTTTTCCCTACAAATTTTTATTTAAAGCAATCATATTGACACCACTAAGACATCATCTACATGGTATTGTTTATCTTCTTTATTTCCTTAGAGAGCAAGTGGATATCTTCCTAAAACAATGCAATATGGACATGCACAAGTCTTCTATGCACCTTCGGCTCCAACTCCATCTTGTAATATCATACCCCTTGTTGTTTAATCCCTTAATATATTAATAGTATTCTTGTTGCAGTTCTCTACTTAGTCAGTTGCTATGTTGGCTTATTGATTGAATTTGGTTTTAATTTAAAGAAATTGGATTGAGATATGCATAGTAAAGAGTGTAGATTTTTGCTTTTTTTTCAAGGTAATTTTTACCCATAGTGTGAGGTAGTGCATTGCCATAGAATTTGTGGTTTAGTTGTAGCTTTTATGCCTCCACTTTAAAAGAATACAAGTTTGATTATTAACAAAATAACTCTTACAAGGATCATGACTACTCATCAATGCTACTAAATTCATGATTTTTAATGCCAAATCAATCTTGTACTGCCGCTACTTTGCTCTATATTGTATTAGAATTTAAGTGGACCTTGTATTTGTCCTTGGGTACTTATAGTTCAAATCAAAGCATATTGTTAAAAATTGCTTTATTTATTAGTTGAATAAATGGAAATATACTAATGAACCATCACATAAAATTGTCTTAAAAATACACAATTACTACTGAGTCTAATATACAAGATATATATTAATTATCAAATAATTTTTTTATTCAAAAAAACTATCAATTATTATGTAGTATGTATGTATATTCTTTTAGGATTAAAAAAATAAATTTTAATATTAAAAACATTTCATGCAACGTATTTTAGTAGTTGTAAGTCATACATATCTATAGTAATAATACTATTAGAAATTTGGTGTTTTCAAAGTATATGTATTATGATTAAGATGGTGGAGAAAAATATTAGACTTTACTGTTTTCTTCTGTTTCATGTCATTATTTTTAACTGTTAAAGAATGCCAAAAATATAATATTGAATGTACACAATTAAGAAGTTTAAAATGGAGTGCTTACATGTCTTATCAAGTGCAAAACGTATTGTTTTAAATGTATTTGAATAATTGTACAATTCTATATCAACTTCAATAAGAATGCATATATATGTTGATTTTCCATTGACATATCTATAAATCTATTTAAATTATTCTTCTCAACTATTGGTACTGGCTCAAACAGAATTACCACCTTTCGAATTTTCAAACATTCTATTATTTAAACATATTTGAAATTAAAATATTCGAGTTAATGGTGCTTATTGCACCAAAATCAATCATATCTTCTGAAGTAACAGATCCAAAGTTACTACACCTCAATGTTTGTACAGTATTATACGCTGCAAGCACAATTGTGGTTCCCAACATATGAGAACAAGAAGTTCACATGTTCTCATGGCGCAGGGAGCATTGCAGACAGGAAGAGGGGCATTGAAGACAAAGACACTGCGTGCACTAATTGTATAAAAGGTAAAAGAATTCCAGAAACAAAAAAAACTTGCAGTTCTTTGTGAGGGCGATGACGCCAAGTTTGCGCCACCGCCTACGACTGTACATGAGTAAGTGGGAGAAATACAGACGCAAAACATCGCTGCACACACCGAACCGTGTTGTCACAACAACATAAGGGGTCCTAAAAAGATTGCAAAAAGCAGGACGCTACCTAAGCTGCAAAACTCGCTAGGCGTCCAACTGAACAATCTTGTGCAGGGATATAACATCTGGTAACATGCCCATGCGCCTTGCCTCGCGAAAAAAACCGGTGAGAGAAGTGGGGGAAAACTTGAAGTCGACCGTCGCCGCAGGAACGAACCAGCAAAAAACCCGTGCACAGGTGCACGAAAGCCTTCTTCCAAGTCAAAAAAACCGCCTCACAGATCAAACGCGTTGCGAAACGCATCGGTGTCATGCCCACGGGGGTGGGAGAACAGCACAGAAAACCACATTGGGGGTGTTGATCACGAAAAAAGAAAAGAAAAAAGGGATGCTATGAAAAAAGATGTATGGTGTACCATAGACAGGTAATGCAGCGGCATGTCCACGGGGAAAAGAGAAAACCCAGTTGTAAGCGTGGTCTTCGTCTTCGTGAGATAATCGATCTCTGCGCGGAATGCCTTTTGAAGCCAATGGAAACACCCGTGCTGAAGTGAAGCCGACGCGCTTCATCCTCCAGCAAATGTTTGCCAAACCCCCACTTCGGCCACTGCTAAAATCCTACATAACCCTGAAGAAAGGACACAGACCAGATGGAAATTGTTGTAAGAACATCACTGAGCGGGCAGGGGAAATCGGATTCGAAATCCGAAGGAAAACCCATCCACTTGTCGTTATGCTTTAGAGGCACCGAAAGATGCTGTTGAATAGAGAAAGAACTATCAGCACACTTGCTCGTTGCCTGGACCTGTAAAGCTTCCAAGCACCATCAATTCGACATGTGATGATGGTCGCGTTTAAACCTCTTCGGCAAAGATGCGGAGGAGGCAGGAGCTGAAGGAGTCCCGACGTCGGGGACGACGAAAGCGTCCTGGAGATATGCGTCTTGCCTGCTTCGGCTACTCCTGGCCAGTTGCCTTGGAGCGCGGATGAGCCTGGGTGGTGCAACGAGCGTCGGTGGGGGAGGTGGGAACTCAGGCACCTCGTGCATGGAGAACATCTGCTCCTCGAACAAGCTCAAATCCGCGGTCCAATCGTAGTTGCCACCAACGGCGGTCACACCTTCGACCTTCGACGAAGAGAAATCAGTCGTGTTGAACTGCTCGGAGCAATCCGCAAGGTTCAGAAGCTCATCCACGCGCCATCCGGGCACCGCATCCGTCAGGAATTCGGAGACGCTACTCCTCCGCATGCATCCGGCGCTTGGAACGCCCGTAGAGAGGGGCGCGACCAGCAGCGGCGCAGCTGGTGATCGAAACTGCTGGGAGGGCCTTGAAACATCTTCTACAATTTGCGCCTTTCCGTTTCCTGCGTAGGCTGGTGGAACCAATTCAAGAGTGAAAGTGTGCATCTGAGACGCGCTGTATACGCCCCCCGCGGGTTTGACACTGGATGACTGCTTGCTGAGGTTGCGGGGTCCCTGAAGAGTAGACGTGGGGCTCCGAAGAGAAGAGCCGCTACTGCAATGCGAAGACTGCGACACCGAGGAAGCAGCAGGACTCGCCAGCAAAGAGCAAAACCCTGGAGTGATGGGCTCCACGGGCTCATCCTTGAGATCCTCCAAGGCAACCCTCGTCCCGGGCACCAAGAAGCGCTTGTGGTTGCCAGAGAGAGTGTTGGCCGTGTGGATGGAGACGTCGCAGTCGCGGCAAAGCAAAGCTCGGTCTTCCAAACAGAAAAAGAATCCTTGCTTCTCCTACAAACATCGACATTCCAGTGATAGTTAGAGTGTTGAGCATTTTCAACCTCGGAGCACTTGAACCACACCCATCTTCATGTCCGCACCATCTAACTTAACCCTGTTGCGTACGCTACTGTACCGGGGCACCAAGATTCAATACAGCATAACCATAATTTCTCTTGAAGCTCTGACGGTGATCTTTTAATCTCGATGCATAAATTACTCCCATTGAGTAAATTTTGACCAAGACCATCGCTTTCATGATGTGAGTAAATTTCAGATGACGAACTCTTCTCAGTTCCAGTGTGTGCATAGTGAAGGATATGCGAATCTACTTATGATTCTGTTGCATCGCATCCCAAGAAAGCACAAGTTCGAGGAATTGAAGAAACCAAACCTACCTGGCAAATGTCGCACTTAGTCGGCTCCGGCGCCGGACGAAGGGCGACGCGAGCGCGCTTGTTGGCATGCTTGTTAGCAGCATGGGCTCTTGCGTCGCACTCGGTGCACAGTGCGACCTCATCCGCACAGCACATTACTGAGGCGGGATTCTTATCACACCCTCCACACAGTATTCTCATCTTGACCACCTGCTGCTGCGTTGATTACCAAGACCGATCGAACCTCCGCACAAACGAGCACTGAAGCTCAAAAGAAAAACAGTGGCAAGTGTTCAAAAACAAACAGCACAGACACCACCTATCAATGACAGAGTGTCTTGCCTTTTGCACACAAATTTCTCTGCTGTGGGGCTTCAAATTTTGTAGTCCTGTTACAAACGCAATGAAACGAAACCTTTGAGACCTATTTGGAACTGAATGTATGTAATCAAGTTTCGAGCAGACGATCAACGTCCTCTGCGTAGTGATGCGAGAGATTTCAGAGCTGAAGAGACAAATTTCAAAAAAAAAAAAAAAAAAAAAAAAAACAAAACAAAACAAAGAAGAAGAAGAAGAAGAAGAAGAAGAAAAAAAACAGCGTCAGAATGAGGCAATGAGCCGTGGGGGTGGGATTTGTACCAAAAAGGTGAAAAGCTCGTGCCTTTTGGAGATGCGAGCCTGGAGGAGCAGCGGTGCGGCCGTTGTGACCGGCGTCGTTTTCGGAGAGGGTCTGACAGGAGGTGACGACTCCGACGACGACGCTGGAGAGGAGGGGATCGCCGACCACCATGTTATTCTCCCTCGTCTACCGTTGCCCTCCCGCGGTAAATATCGTATCCACATATCCACCAATCGCCATCCCAATAATCCAGTGATTGCTACTCCAAATATCCCCCTCCCTTGCACAATGACCGCATCCCTCTCGCAACTTGACTATCTACCACACCCACCAGCCCTTCCTTCACTCACTCGCTCATGTCTTTTTTCTTTTTCATATTCCCAGCAAAATTTCTTTCGTGCCTGGGCTATGTTGCTAGACTGGGGGCTGCCACCCCGGCAGCGGCATCTCCACCATCATGTGACTTATCCAACGTCTGCACAGTCTCTCACACACTCTCACTCAGAATGGCACGACGCACTTGCAGGGCTGCTACAGCTGCTGCTGCTGCTTGGACGGAGACGATGCGCGATGATGACGGACGGACCAACAAACGGACGGGCAGACGGAGCCTGCCAGCCTCGTCCTCATCCTCTTTGAACAGAGGTGTTCCCCAAAGCTCCCTCCGCATGGGGAACTCTTGGCTCCTTGTTGTCTATATCATTCCCTTTCAGTTTGGCATAGGATGACCTTTTTCATCTTCCAAATACCTTTTTCTGCATCCTTTCCTGTTGAATCAATGCCATGAGCTTCCGAAAATTTTACATTCCATTGTCTAGTTTTTTTTGTTCATTTTACCTTTTTCATACAATAAGCATTTACGCAGTATCAACAATGTCCACAACTTGTATTCAACCATTTTAACCACCGCTGATACGCACAAACAAATAAAAAAAATGCAAATATTAGCCCTGTAACAACTACCCAAAAGCTTTTCTGAAGACAAGTCAATGTGGTCCCAATCGAATGTATCCTTTCTCCTGTATCTATGTTTATTTATTTATATTATTTTGCACAAAGGAAAAAAAATTTAAACCCCTAAAAGTTAATGACCAAGCAATCCACAGATTCAAAACATAGATCATCTAGAGGTTCAAAGCAGAAGAAGGAATCCACACACACACACACACACATATATATATATATATATATATATATATGAACAACGATGCAGAATAACTTTTAAAAGAAAGCAAAATGTGTTTATACATCCATTTACTGATTACATCATTCATCCATTATATAAAAAGTAAACGCATCTCTCTGAAAAGGCGAATCGGGATCATACATTGCCGTCACTCAAAATTAAACAACCTCCAAATCAAGTAAACACCCACTAGCACTGGGGCCATAGGAGGTACCCACCACGGAATATAAGTGCCGCATGTTTTTTTTTTCCTTCTAACAAAGCCTATGAGTGAGTTCATGCATGCGTCCATGCATAGGGATTCTGCACTCTAGATTAGCTGAGTGATCTAGTTCACCTGTACATAAGAATAGTAACAATAAAATAATGACAATCGCGATGATAACACCACTCAGAACCACCATCTGACTCATAAAGGCAACATTGACCATCCACGTTGCCTAAAGTTAGAACTCTCTTCTGCTGAACAGATATTGTTGAAGGCTCCATCGGTGACTCACCCGCACTACAGTCCAAAACTTCCTTTTTCACGGAGATAAATGGAAACTCGACCACTAGGTTGCTCCCATTTGACTCTCGCCATTTTCAGTCGAAGGATGAGCCTGGATATCGGAGTGCCGACCCAAAAGAAAAAATGTTTAATAGCAAAAAGATAGTAAAGGTCGCTCATACTAGAAGGCGTGAAGTTAGTTCTCGAGTACTGTCTGTGAGGAGTTACAGCAGCTAACAGAATGTGTTTGATCAGAATGGTAACTAAACACGATAAAAAATGGCGGGGGTCGGCCTCTACAAAGCATTAATCGACGATGGAAAGTTTGGGAGGTTAGTTGAGTCTCAGGGTTAGATGGCAGAAGTGGGAGTGTTTATTAGGCATTGAAGGCTCCAACTGATCAGTCAAGACCGGCATCCCCAGGCTGGACAGTGTGAATACAGCAGATCTCAGAGATCCATTCTGATGGTGGGATCCGCTTTTCGGTGCTGAGTAAGCAGGACGCCAAGTCCACATGTTCTTTGCATGTGACTGGAGCCTGACTCCATCGGCCCCACCAGCTCAGCCCTTATGAAAAGTGCCTGTTTATCGATCATGTGCCGCGTGGGGTCTATCCATCGAAGGAGTTGCTTGCTTGAATGTCAATGAGGCTCTCCTCCTTCCGCTTCCTGAGGGCGCCGCAAATGGAGACCTGTCAAGAGTGGATGCGCCTTCTGGGTCTACGCCTTGTGCTGTTGTTGTGGCAGTTGGATGGATCCAGGTGGCGCTGGGTTAGAGGATGAGGATAATATCCTGCACCAATGCCTGCTCGCTGGGGTGGCGAGGTTCTGGGTGATAGGGTTCTGAAATGACTAGAAATAACCCATTCGCTGAGCTGTCTTAAACAATAACTTCGTTGACTGATTCTTTTTAAAAGTCGATTGGCCATGGTTCAAGCAAATAACCTCGATTGCTATTCTACGGTTGATATCTAAGGTTTTTCCAGCCATTGCTGTACATGTTTTCTTGTTGCTCTATGTGTTTAGTTGATTGCATTTCATTGTGCTATTTGTTGTTTAGTGTGGAGACAACATGAAAGATGAGTATAAGGTTGGCAAAAGGACAATTTTTAGGTTGTTGTGTTGCTACTCAAATCAATGTTGATGACCAACTAGAAAAGGTTGTTGAGGCAGCCTGATTCAAACATGACCAATATCAAAGCATTTCTGTAGAGTATTTTTTTTCAAAGTATCTTATCTTCTAGAAAAAAATAATGAATAAGAGGAAATCTTTGTTTTATATATAGGATCATATTTAGATTGTCAATGGTCTTCTAATGAGCATAAAATGCTAGTTGTTAAATACCCAAAACATGCATTTATATGTCCAATTGATCCTAAGTGGTATTTTCAACCATCATTTTAAGAATATCAACAAGATTAAAAAAAAAAGTTGGAATTTTGCTCACAACTACATACAAACAATATTATCTAATATATGTGCTTTGGATTGGCACAATATTCTGGATAACAACCAATAGTTTAATATTGGTGAAAAGTCATGGTTCTAAAATCTCATGAAGATATTATATTTGGATTATAAAGTCCCTTATCATGGCATACTAAGAATAGTGCTTAAAAATGATAATACTTTTAACACAATGAAATTCTATTCTTTGGTGAATGGTGTCACATTTGGCTTTGGGTTCACTTCAAATTGATGGTCAAAAGCATATTTTTGGCTATATCACCATCACCTCCTATCAAGTGAGTAGAGACTAAGACCTATATTTGGTGGTCTTGGCATTCATTATTTTTTCTTCCACATAATTTGACAATTAAGAGTGATATCATAAACAATGTATTACATGAGTTTGGCATATTGACATGCATTATGAATATCACCACCAATAATAATGCCAAAATGTAAAATGTAATGGTTGAGAGAATTGGTGAAAATCAAATACTTTAGTTCACTTCGTGTGAATTTCTATATTTGTTCTATTTTTCATGTCATCATTCTCACAATGAAGGATGTAGAGTTGTGTATAAAAAAGGATGTTGACAATGCTTGAAGAATATTGAAGCAAGTTTGATACAATGATGCAATACAATTTGAATTTTGTGCAATTAAGATTTGCTTTTTGAAGTGCAAACATGTCAATAAAACAAAAGAGTATCAATTTTTTAAAAGACCAATGAGATCAAGGTAAAAATTAGAATAATATTTTTTATTATCTAAAAATTACAAATAAGACAAACAAGATTTTTTTTTTAAATATATTAGAATTGACAAAATTATTTGTTTTAAAGTGGTTCCATTTCTTGGCCTAAATTTCAAAGGATGTATTTATTTTTATAAGATCTTTAACTCCTTTGGAGTTAATAATCTTTAATGGCAATTAGTTTGTGAGGCCATTTAATTCCAAAATTTTAGATAACAACTTGGAAATAAACATGTTTTTTTAATTATAGAATAAGAATAAAAATATATTTAGGTTGTAGTAGATGCATTTAGTACATTTTTATAGGTTAAGATTAGCCAACTTAAGCCAAGGCTAGTTGGCTATAGATTCTTTTGTAGATAATTAGTTGTTAGCTATATTTAAAATAAGTTTAGAAATAATTTTAAATCCTAAGCTAAAGTCTAAGATATTCTGCACATCTACTTGGTCATTTCTTAAGTTACATATTTAATAAAAATAAATAACACATCATATGCTAATCATAGAATTTAACATATATATATATATATATATATATATTTATTTTAAACATAACTTAAGTCTAAGTGTCATATAAATTAAAATACAAGACAAAAAATCATTAATACAAACCATGTGCTAATTTGAATTACTTGTTTGATTTTTCTTTAGTAATTAAAATCAATGGCATATCTTTGATTGGAGCATAATATATACGCATGTATTCACAAATGAATAATTGAATTTATATTATGTTTTAAACTCTTTATATGTTATACTATTAGCAAATTATTATATTATTGTTTTTAGAAGTAAGAGTAGTAGTTGAATTACAGCTCATCAAATTTAAGAATTTTTTTTGTACATCTCAAACATAATTTATTATTTTAGTTTTATATCTAAAATACAAATAGTACTAGATCTTATAAATTATTTATATTGATTTTACATGTAAATATAGTTTTATGTATAAAGTATTATAAATAAAATAAAAATTTGAAATCCATAGAATATAATTCAACGAATCATGGATAAAAAATAAAAAGATAATAATAATGATATTAATAATAGAAGAAACATTATGCTGAAGATTTAAAAATTGAAATAGATATAAACATATGATGTGGTTTTTATGATGGATTTTAATTTATTTTAATATATATATATATATATATATAGTCTAATAGATGATTTATCTATTTATTTTATTTTTATTTCATATCACATAATGATATTTGATGTTCTAAATTGATTGAGTAACATTAAAGTTTTTATAATCAAAATCAATATTCCAAAAGACAATACCCTTATAGTTACAAAATTTAATAGAATCACAATAAAATATCAATCTTAAAATCTGAGATAAAGAAGTATTAAGCCTTGTTGTAATAAAGTGTCTAATAAGAGGATTTAGACTTAAGATTTTTTGGGTAATATTTTACCCATGATGCTATTTCAAAGTATCACTTGATACTTCAAAATCACCTATCTTACAATATCTTGCAAGGTAGGTTATTTTAAAATCCAAATATAAAAAAAATAAATGAAATATCACAAATTTCTTTGTTTTTTTTAATTATCTTCTCTTTGCCTTAACTATCTTGATTTTTCCAAATCACCAAAATATGAAGTGATACTT